TTCAAATTCTTCATTTTTTGAGAAATTAAAAAATAATTAAAACTTTCATGCTTGGGAATAAAACTGGCATTAATAGTAAAAACATAACATTAAAGCTCTGAAGATTTTTTTAAATTTTTTGAAGCCCTGTGTTTCTCCCAGAAAACCCTAACCGAAGATTTTCCTCTAACCTGACTTCTGCTCTGGAAACACAAAGAAGTCTAATATATCTTTCCAGCAATTATGACAGAGGAAAAGTCCCTGAACCTCTTATCTGCAATAAACCACCTGAAAACCGGAAGTGGCGTGGTAGCTCAAGTGGGTAGAGTGCTTGCCTTGAGCTGAAGAGCGCAGGGACAACGCTCAGGCCCAGAGTTCAAGTCCCACTTCCAAAAAAATAAATAAATAAATAATAATAATAAGGATACTGGAGTGAGACAGTTAAGCTCTATTGCCAATCCTAGCTCTACCATTTACAAGCTATAGTGACCTGGAGCAACTTATTTAAGCTTTATGTAACTTATAGCTTCTACATTTATTCATTTGTAAAATGAATAAAACCTATATAATATACTCCTGTTTCATTTGTCTGTAAAATAAATAAAATGCAGATAATATACATGAAATATTTTTTTAAAAAACATTTTGGACCATACTAGGCATTCAGAAAAAAATATTACTTATTTTTTATAATTAATGACTAAAATATCCTACCAATAGTGAAGGGAATCTGCAAAAGATATTAAAGAAATCTTTTGGCCAGGTATCAGGAGCTCACACCTGTAATCCTAGCTACTCCAGAGGCTGAGATCTGTATATTGTGGTTAGAAGCCAATCCAGGCAGAAGGTCAGGAAAGTATGTGAGACTCTAAACTCCAATAAACTACATAAGCCAACAGAGGAGCTGTGGCTCAAGTGACAGAGTGCTAGCCTTGAGTAAAAAGCTCAGAAAAAGCATCTAGATCCTGAGTTCAAGCCCCAGGACTGGCAAAAGTAAAAGAAAAATCTTTTGTCCTCTCTTGGCCTGATCATTTTCATTTTCTCCCTTGCCCTTTCTCACACATACATTACACTCATACACACAACCATCTTAAACCTCTGTTCCCCTTCACACCAAGGTTACAACATGTAAAAATGATCTGATTTTTACTGAATATTACACCTTACTTGCCATCTACTTCTAAATATCATTTGACTTTTAGGATTACGATTATAGAAAAATCTGTCTAACACAGTCATAGAACAAACCATTACTGCTAAATCAAATACATGCTTTCTAATCATTTTACTTTTCCTTTGCTCAGTTTTAAAATGTTGATGTTCCTGAAAGTTGAATAATTCAAGTTATTTATGTGATTTAGACTGAAGATTTGTACTTTATTCTCTATCTTCCCTCATGCACAAAATTGTCCGTGGCAAAAATATATTATTTACGCGCGCGCGTGTGTGTGTGTGTGTGTGTGGCAAAAATATATTATTTACGTGTGTGTGTGTGTGTGTGTGTGTGTGTGTGTGTGTGTCTGTGTGTGTGGCCTGGGCACTGTTCCAGAGTATTTTTGCTCAAGGTTAGTGCTCTACCACTTAAGCCACAGTTCCATTTCCGGCTTTTTGGTAGTTAAATGATGATAAGAATCTCACAGACTATCCTGCCCAGTCTGGCTTTGAACTGTGATTCTCAGATCTCAGGCTTCTTAGTAGCTAAGATTACAGGTGTGAGCTACTATTAGCTACCGATTACTTAGCTTTGATTCCTCTCTTCCTATTAATTCTACTCCTTATAGTAATCCCTTAACTTGTTCTTTTCTCTTTATCCCAAACACATTTGTAGCTATTTAGCCATTTCATAATGATAAAAGAGAATTATTATGTCATTGTCTTGCTTACAGTTTCTCAAGGGTTCCCATTTCCCATTATTATCAAGGGGAAAAAAAACTACAACCTTATAAATACTCCATCTGCAAAAGGTGACCAAATGCAGCAGTAGTACTCACTAGACACTATGTTGAGAATAAACTTTACAACTTATGGGTGGGAACAGGAGGGGAAAATGGGGAAGCAAGGGAAGGGGTGACATTGTCCAAAAAAACATGACTCTTTACCTAACTTATGTAACTGTAACCCTTCTGTTGTATATCACCTTTATAATAACAGTAAAAATATTTAAAAAAAAAAAAAAAACAGTCTAGCCGGGCACCAGTGGCTCACACCTGTAATCCTAACTACTCAGGAGGCTGAGATCTAAGGATCACAGTTCAAAGCCAGCCTGGGCAGGAAAGTCCGTGAGACTCTTATCTCCAATAAACCACTAGAAAACCGAAGTGTTTTCTAGAAAAACAAAACAAAACAAAACTAGAAAACCACTGTGGCTGAAGTGGTAGAAAGCTCACTTTGAGCTGAAGTACACAGGGACAGCATCCAAGCCCAGAGTTCAAGCCCCATGACCAACAACAACAACAACAACAAAAAAACACTCCCTCAGGACTTGACTAACGTCTCCGTGGTCCTCTTATCACTTGTATAAATCATGAAAACTATTGACACAGAAGTATTATTGAAGGAATAATCATTCCATTCTCAATAATAGCTCTCAAATGCTTTTATCTTACACACATTCTTCAAAACCCAGACAAAACTTCTTTCTCATAAGAAACTCCCAAGCCACCTCTCCCTCAGCATTTTCTGCATAGTTTATTAGCCTACTTATCTGTCTATCCAACTGTGACCTTAAGTACTTCAGAGACCAAATATTTTTTCACTTGTATCTTGAACACCCTAGCACTCTCTGAAATGCAGTATGCACATAATAAGTAATTGTTTCATTAATGGCATATCTAAACAGATACCTTTTTAACTCATCCATAAGTTCCTTATCCTAATGTTTTAAATTCAATTCTACTGTATCCTGGAAAGATCAAGTAAATGGGATTATTTGGGAGTTAACAAAAAAAAGAGATGTATACATATTGTGCTCCCTAAATTATAGCTATGAGTTGAAGAAGATATAGTAATAAAGCAATGTAATAAAGCAAAGAAATAAAGTAATAAAACAGACTTTTTAGTAGTCATCAAGAAAGCATCACTATCATTACCTTGAGAAAAACTAAAAAGGAGGCAAATACAATAGGGAATAAGAGAATGTATACTATAAAAGCCTATAAGATTATCTGTAGTTTTTCAAAGTTTACAAGTCATAAAATATTCAATAAGTTTGAACACTGGACTGCTTTGTCACTTTTTCTTAGTCTTCTTACAGTACAAAATTAGCACAGATTACAAAACTAGTACAAACTACGTATTATGTCCTTTGTAAGTGCTAAGTTGTTTACTATGTGTTGTTTACCTTGCTCAGAGACCACCCTCATTACCGTAGTCTAAAATGACAAGATTAGGGCTAAGCATGTTAAATCACTCAACAATTATTTTAAGGGATTTAGACAAAAAAAATTGGAGTGTTAAAACCACTTTGTATGTTCATGCCAGTACTGGGTCTTGGACTCTGTCCTGGGCACTGTCCCTTAGCTTTTTGCTCAAGGCTGGTGGTCTACCACTGGAGCCAAAACTCCACTTCTGGATTTTTGTTAGAGACAAGAATGTTCTTCCTGGAACTTTCCTGCCCTACCTTGCTTAAAACTGTGATTTTCAGATCTCAGCCTCTTCAGTAGCTATGACTACAGGCATGAGCCAATGGCACTGAGTATGAAAACAATCTTGATCAACCTTCATTGGCCGCAAGGGTTTTCTTCTCTGAATCTGTTTCTTTAAAAATAAAATGCAAAACAAAACCCTGAAGTGAAATACTCCTCCAGTCACTATTTAGTAAGACAAATTTAATTCCATTGAACCAGCCAAAAGGTTTCAACAGGTCACTGGAAAGTAAACCAACTCAGTGGCAAAAATTTCAGTGAGGTTTGAAAGTATTTAAAAGCCACCACTAGAGTGGTACTGTGATACTGCCTGTTCTCCCAGGTTCTTGGAAGGCTGAGGCAGGACTGCTTGAGCCTAGGAACTGGACAACAGCATCAGCAACATAGCCAGATCCTCATCTTTCAAAACTATTCCTCAAAGTTGTCACTGACCACTGTCAAAATTAATAGTCAATAAGAGCATCATAGTGAAGGTAGTGGTTTAACAATACCTTTTAGTTTTGATACATCTAATCACGATCGGCTTTTTAAAAAATCATCTACTCCCCACTCCAGCTTAGTTGAAAAATAAATAAAGCTGTAAATTACTTGTTTCTCTATATTAAAACACACACACACACACACACACAAACTCATATTGTAATAGAAACCTCTCTATTAGGAGTTCACAAATCACTAGAAAAATTGAGTACAAACAAATTCTTCTTTGATTTGTTTTCGGGGACGGAGAGGTCCAAGGGGAGAAGAAATGTATTTTCTGTTATTTGCAGCTGCTTTAACAGCAAGCGACAATTAAATGTGTGAACAAGGTTGTCAGAGTAACACTTGTCATTCACACCGCCTATGGAAAGATACAGCATGACTTCCAGAAGCACTCATTAAAATTAACGAAAGCTTATCACGGGGAGTTGAAAAAGAAGTGTGCCGGGGGAGGTACACCAAATCACACCGAAGTTCAAGAGCCGTTTTCACACCAAGGTCCAACTTGCAGCCCAGCTAACCACTAGGCACTAACGAACTCAGCCCAGTCGCCCACCAAGGAACTCTCTATGAATAACAGTCCCGACAGTCCCAGCACAACACAACCCTTCTAGAAGAAGAAAAAGCAAAGAGTTCATAAGAAGTGCGGTCCGTTTTCTCTTAGAAATAAAGAGGGGAAGATGCAGGGCAAAGTACTCTTTCTCTTTCCTCCCCAGCAGAGATGCACGCTCCAGCTAGTAGTGCCTTCCAAAGCCCCGAGGGCTGACCGCTCCCCCAACCCTCCCCCAACATGCATGAAGGCACTCCCAAGCAGAAGAATGTACCAGACATTACCCACCTCCAACCCCCAAAATCCCGGAAGACCTTCACCCCGAGATTCAGGTGGGCCTCTCTCACCTGAGCCCCTCAGCAGTTCTCCGGGTTTACGCAGACGCACTTTTCAGCAATCTGCCTTGCGATTGGTTAACTCGGGAGGGGCGTTTCAACCCTATTGGCTACTGGAGCCACGAGGTGGTGGGACTTTGGAGCCGTCGCTGACTGGCGGGCTGCATGGTTTCCCAGAGTTCCCATTGGGTCATCACAAGGCGCTCAAGATGGCGGCGGTGGCAACCGGCGCCTCGGGTCCCCAGTGTGCCGAGGCTTTGGCAGCGGCCGCGGGCAACAGCAGCAGCACCAGTTTCCAGAGGAGGGTCCCTAAAGCCGGTGGAGCCGAAAGCAGCGGCCCCCGCCTGGTGTCCATTTCGGGCACGCGACCGTCGGTGCGGAATGGACAGCTGCTGGTGTCCACCGGGCTCCCCGCCCTGGACCAGCTCCTAGGTCGGTTTCGGAACGGAGATCTGGGTTCAGCTGAAGGAAGCCTGGAGGGGAGGGACCCCCACATGTCGGACTCTTCCTGCTCCCTCGGTGCCCCTCGGTCCCCGTCTCTCTCTCCTTCTCCCCTTCCTCCCCCCGGCCCCCACCGTGGAGACCGTCCGCCCCGTTCTGCCCGAGTTGGACGGAGGGATTGCGTGGTGGGCCGCCAGACCTGCGTGAGCCCCGCGGTGTTCCCCAGCTCTGCACACCCGCTCCTCCCAGAGCCTGCGTGCTTTTGTGTGTTTTTTTTCTCCCCTACCCCACCCCCGGAATGCTTCCTAATTTCATTAATATCTGGAATCACTTTGGCTATCACCCAGGATCTTCCCCTAGTCGCAATACTCTTAACCCCTCTACCTTAAGGCTGGGACTGACTGAACTAAACTTTGGTGTCCTTGTGAGAGAAGGACTTGATTAGAAAAACGCAGGAAAATAATAATAATAACTTATTATTGTTATTATTATCTCTCCCTCTTTCACACTTAGACTGCTATCTACCTAAGTCCTAAACGACATGGCTTTAAGAGAGTGGATGTTGAAGCTGTGTGATTAGGATAGTTCCGTTCCTATTTGCGTTAAATGAGTATATCTCTACTCATACATAGATGATTCTTATATGCATTTCGCTTTCCAGAGTTGGTTGCTGCTATGTGCTGAACAACAGGAGTTTTTTGTTTGTTTGTTTGTTTGATGCCAGTACTTATGCTTGAACGCATGGCCTGAGCACTGCCTCTTAGGTGTTTTGCTATAGACTGGTGCTCTGCCATTTCAGCCAAAGTTCCACGTATGGCTTTTTGGTGGTTAATTGGAGCTAAGAGTCTCACAGACTTTCCTGCCAAAACTGGCTTGTAATGTAATCCTCAGATCTTAGCCTCCTCAGTAGCTAGTATTAACCTGAGTCAGGTTTGAATTTAATTCACATTTTTAAACAGAAAAGGAAGTCTATCTTTTATAACCTCTGGAATTTTCTAAAAGAAGCTTGATGAATATACTTGTTTCTTAAACAAATTTATGCTGAAAGGATTGGAGAGATTCCATCTGGAGGGCAAATTTACTCTGTTTATAAAGTTTTTAGGTTTATTTTTGCTATCTGAATACAGAATTATTAAAGCTGGTCTGTGATTTTAATACATTTTTTCATAGTATGTGATGTGTGTCTGTTAAACCTGGCACGATTTCATAATATATTAAAACTCATTGCTGGTCCTTGTACTTCATTTGACATTTTCACTGTTATCCTTCCCCAATTCCACACCAGCCTCCAGGTAGGCTTTTCAAGCAGGTTTAATGCAGAGGAGTGTAACAAGATAAACAACTGATTGCTCAAAAAAATGTATGGATTCCTAATTGTGTTATTTCATGTCTTAAGTGGGTCCCAAGTTTTTTTCTGCATAAATTTAAATATTTTCCATGCCGTTGTCAGTTTAGTGCCCTCTTACTTTGCATAGAACTAAAAACAAATGGTTTCACATACATTGTTAGTGATTGTTTATTTCTTCTTATTCCCTGAGAGCTTCACCTGATGTTCTGATTTTGAACTTAAAGGTGAGAAGCAACTCCTACTAGTGCTTATGTGTCTACATTTTAAATGGGCATATGTGACTTCATTTACTTGATACTAAAACTCTCCAAACAAAAATGCTACATTTCTAGCATTATGCTTTAATTTCTCAATCAAATAACAAAATGGGCCTTGTACATTCCCAGCACTGAGTAGGTTCTTCATTGAAAGAAAAATAACATCGAAAAGAAAACAAACACCAACAGCAAACACTGAACAACAGCAAGAGATTATGAAACATGTAGAACTGTTTTAGGTGAATGAACATTAAAAAACAGATTCAGCCATGCATCAATGGCTCATGCCTATAATCCTAGCTACTCAGATCTGAGATTGAAGAATCTCAAATCAAGGCCAGCCTGGGTAGGAAAGTCTGTTAAGACTCTTATCTCCAATTAAGAACCAAAAAATCTGGAAAGTAGAGCTGTGGCTTAAATGGTAGAGCACTTAATTCAGGAACAGCACCTTATGCCCTGAGTTCAAACCCCAGGATGGGCCCAAAAAAAAGGGGGGGGGGATTCAGAAATTAACTACTATGGGCAGTCATAAAACTGACCCTGACCATGTAGGCTTATGTTTTGGATATCTTGAGTTCTGTCTGGACTATACTACAGCTGTCTCAAATTTTGAGAACTATTTGCAGAATTTTTTTACCTAATTTATTGAACCTAAGATTAATGATTTAACGATAGTCTCTTCAAACACCCACCACAATGAGAACTCAATAGACATACGCACATGGGTTTTCCACAGAGATGAAACTGTAAAAACATTTAAAATTTTCCTATGTGCTCAGAGATGGAAGCCTCAATACTTAAAGCTTATGCTAAAATTTAGTATTTGTTGAGGTGATTGAAATGGTAACTTGTTAAAATCTTGAAATGAATTTTGCATGTATACAATTGATTCTCAAACAAATTGAAAATGTTAAATAAGAGTACTTTATTTGAAAAAATAACTGTGTCCAGAAGTATTTCAGTTGTTAACTTCTTGATGTCCTTTTGTAGTTTGATTTTCTGTCTTGTATGGAGCCTTTTACATTTGTTTTTCATTAAAGCATTATTTGAAAGTGAAACATGTGGCTGGTAATGTGTGTACATATAAATATTAGTAATTTTAAAATGTTATATGACCCAGATTGCAACAATCCTAATATGATCATATTGTGACAATCTATTCATAATAGGAAATTTTTCAGTAGGGGACTTTACTGTTACATTGTGATCATATATGGTTACTGTAAATAAGTATATACTGTATAGGAATCACCAGAGTTTACTTCTGCTACCATGACATCATTTTAAACATAGATTCAGAATACATTTGAAAGGTTCCATACAGGCTCAGCAAATGTTATCATTTGATACTTATCCGATACTCCAGTGATAACTTCAAAACATCTTACAAATTTAAAAATTTCTGAACTAGCAGTATGGCTCAAATAGAATACCCATTTAGTAAGTGCCAAGCTCTGAGTTTAAAATCCAGGAGTACCAAAAAATAAAAATAAAATCCAAGTTTTCTAATACCTGCATCTTTGAGACATGAGCTAATCATACAGTTTTGATTCTGACAATTTTATATTGTTTTATATGCATTTCCCAATATAGCTTCATTTAAAGTTTTCAAGTACTTAGACTGCCTAATCTAAGTTTTCAGTCTTCTCCCTTCCAGGACATACTGATATTTGAATTCACTAGATATAAATAACACACATTTCAGGAAAGAAAATACATTAGATGGATATTCCTTTTATCTTCCTCCAGGAATTTCTAAGATTATAGCAAGTAAAGTATGTTTAATCTGCAAAATGCTTCAAGCGACATGACTTCACAAGTTTGGCCCACTCCTGCACTGCTCAGAACTTACTAAATTTGACTATCATAGTGATGGAAGATAGATTTTGGATAAAGAATAGTCCATAGAGAGTTCTCGACAAGAAGCTTTATATGGTAGCTGCCCTTTGAAACTCTAATTTTGAAAAGTAAATACTGTTAATCTATAGTGTGAGATAAATTGAGCTTTGATCACATTTAACAATTTAGCAACTGATGTACAGATGTATACAAAATTTACTTCATTTTTATTACTATGAAATACTTTTATGTAATCTACAGAACCATATCACTTAACTTTGGTTTCCATATTTATCCAGCCAGTACTTATGTCATATCTTCTTACATGTAAGTAAAATATTCTACCACTACTTTTAGCAAGCTGGAAATGGACAACCTTCTTAAAGAGATCAAGAAGCAAATCCAAGAATCTTAGTGACTTAGAAAGTATGCCAGGCTTTGTGTAGTATGCAGCTGTAATCCTGGCATTCAAGAGGTAGAGATGGGAGTCTGGTAAAGTTTGGGCTAAGACACCTGCAAAGAAAATGAGGCAAAAGAGAGAGTGAAAAAGAGGAAGGGAGAAGGAAGAAAGGAAAGAAGGAAGGATTTTTTCTAAAAGTCAAAATCATTTCTTTTTGTTTTCATCAGGGATAAGATGATTGCTTACTTTAGCCATTACTTACCTAGAAAATATTTTAATGGAATGATAGAAAAAAATTATTTTGTTAAAATTGGGAACTGTTAATGCAGCCTAAATGAGTTTGTTTTTTTTTTCTTTTTGTTTGTTTTTACATTTATCTCTGAAATTAAAACACTAAGCTTTGTAATAAATATACTGAAAACTTTAGCAATTTAAAATATCAGTATAGCAGTATAAATCAGGTAGGATAAGCTCCATGTTTAACTTTATTAAGAGTACTTGTATGCTATTAGATTTCAGATTGTTTGAAGGAATAATTATGCTTACTTTCAGTGTACAAAATAAACAAGGGAACTTCTCATATTAAGTTGCTCTACAGGAAAGATCTTTATTAGTGTTCTAAATGTTTTCATTTTGTTCACATAAAAAAACTAATATCTTCAGACAATCAGAAATTTGAGTAGTTTCTTTTAAATCATACTATGAATGTATTTCTGTTAACTGAAATTTAGATTTTTGTTTACAAGTAAATTTTTCAATATTTAAGACATTAAT